GAGACATATACTTGCGCCCAATATCTTCGACCTCCAATCGACCCATGGCTCATGGTGTTCCAGCCATACCATACCAATGATGGGGTCACACCTTAAATTCAAGTCTTAGACTAAGCAGCTTTTAACGCTATCAAAGTCAAGAAACTTGACACCAAGGTCCACAGGGACCTTCGGCACCGTGCTACATGTTCCCGTCGCTAAGCGAACAGTAACTATGTCACCCAACCACGCCTTCAGTACCTCAGCATACAGCTTACTTTCTTCCATCGTGGAGCGTCGTGCATAATTGCCCAACGCCCCGAGATCTTCCATGGCTTCTCAAAGCCCTTCACCGTCGCGTCCGCGACAAGCAAGCCCGGATTGTATAAACGTCTCGTATTAAAGAGCACAAAACACTTTGGGGCTGAGCCCTGCTGACCGTTACCTCCTTGAGGCTCATCAGACTCAGGTCTTACCCAGTAGGCCACCCCGCACCTACCGGGTGTTGTCGTTTCCCCGCGACAACCAGAAGATTGGTAAGAAGCGGGACGTCGATCCGATGATACTTGACGTGCCTTGTGCAGGAGACAACCAATGCGAAGGTGGAAGGTGATGCGTGGCACCACAGACAAGCATCGTCAGGTGCTCGAACGCTGCTCGGCAGCTCGGAGCTCTGCCTCCTAGTCCTTAACATAGCTGGAATCCAACGGCTCAGGTCCGTTCGACGAGCTGCTAGAGTGTGCATTCCAACCAAGTCGTTCAGACTTGAAGATTAAACCCGTATTTAATGCCACATTTACTGCTTCTTTAAAAAAAGAAGTGTGCACGGAAGACTTCCATTCTGACCACGCCAGTGCGGAGGCCTCCATAAAAACTGTCTTTGTCACCGTCTCGAGGAGAAGAAAGGCTTCTATACCGGCAATGAGATTACGCAACTCTTGGACAAAGTCAACCGATTTCTTGTTGCCCTGTCGGACAGCAAGGAAATGCGATCTCACGCGATATGCCAGGTTTTGCGGCGAGAGCACTCGTGAAAGCTGCAGCTTCAGCTTCAGCTTCGTCCAGGAGAGGAGCACCGCTTCAACTGAAGTATCGCACGTTGGTGCCCATTCTCGCGCTCAACCACTGAACTTGGAGATAGCTAGCGCCACGCGCTGATGCTCGGTCTGGGGCATGGCGGACGCTGTTGCCATCTCGGCCTCTCTCACCCAGAGCAGGAGGTTCTATCCATCCTTACCCTCGATGATCTTAACGCTCACCATGAGCGGCTTGAGTCAGGAGGATTCATCCGTCGTCGACGGTGGCGTCATGGATGCAGTCGACGCAGATACCTTCTCTGTAGGTCCTCTAGCATAGCATTTTCAAAGCATGAATACGCCTCTAGATGCGCGCTGATCGCTTCAGGTCCTTGTGAAGCGAGGGTTGCATGCCCTTAGAGACAAGCAGAGATATCAGATCATCAAGCCCATCTTGCATGTTATACGGCAAATAGGAGAACTGCTCCATCCTCACAAAGGGTAAGTCGTAACGCCTCAGGTGTAGATTGACTACGAGTCCTACCAAGTGCAGCGGGGCTGCAGTAGTTTTTTGATTAGAGTAAGATCACCGACCTTCGTTCTATACTTAGAAACAGTACGAGTGTAGCGGATCGCAATCCGCTTACTCCAAGAGTAATCACGACCTTAGCCCAAGGCAAATAAACTCTTCCGTTTAGATTGTAGACTGTATTTTTATTTGCGGCAAAGCTGCCTTTATCTAATCTATAGGTTTTCCTAGATAAGTAGTAAAACCTCATTAAAACGCATACCGACTGGCAGTCCAGCCACGTACTGACTTCTTGTTGAGGTGAAGCCTCACCATTGTATGATCACACCATCTTGTGTAACCCACACCCTTCTATGGTCACACCACACCTCCCTTCATTCCAGGGTATGAGTAACCCCGTTACAATAAGTCTGTCTAGGTAGCAAACTCGATGTCACTGGCTGTATCAATAATTCGCGCCCTGCATACCCCCTTCTCTCGGCCAAGAGGCAGAAAGGGTCAAGCTCCCTCGCCGAATTGCCTGATGAACTCAGGTAGGCTATCCTGGTCCCATTAGGACCTTTTTTCTCTCGAGGCGATCGAGGTCATTGAGCTCCAGCCCTAAGCGAAGCGGCTCTCTCAAAAAGAGTGAAGCTCATCACCCAAGGTCGAAGATGGTTGACTCGGTACGCATACCGCAGATGTTTTGTATTACTACAGATAAACCATCTGCAAATTCTGCATCAGAAAGTTGGGTCATTTCTTACACACTCGTGTAGCTCTTGTTACATAATGCTCCGATTTTGACAACAACTGCTACCTTTTGCAACGAGATTGCTGTGCATTTTGCACAGAAGATGACTTCGCACACTCCATCTAGGATCGGATTCAAGATCTGATCTAGACTTCTCTTTATGAATTTAGCAATAATGAAAATCTCATGTCTTTCTATTCAACTTTACCGTTTACTTTTCGTATCACCTCTACCGTTGCTAGTCTTTGTGATTCCTAATCTTCGACGTGAAGCACTTGAGGTGAGACTGCTCGTCAACCCACTACTTTTACTACTTGATTTAGCATCCGGATAGACACCTTTGACGTTAAATGTCCATTGCATTTCTTCGGTTAAAATGACTAGCTGTCCCGATTGCATTTTACCATATCCCGTAGGTGTGAATGACACGACAAAGACAGCGCCATCTTGACTTTCATAGGGAGGCAATTCACCTTGAACGGGATAAACTGTAAATGCACTTGAAGATCCAGCGGAAAAGTCAGCAAGAAAAGCAGCTGATTCTCGAAATTGATTGCAGAGTTGAAAGCTCACAGATGACGTTTGATTCAAACTTGATTCAATCGTTAAAACATCATCAATTGGTGGATCGGTCGCATCTAACGACACATCAAAACGCCACAATCCACCACTTTTTTTCTTAATTAATAGTGTAATCGATCCTCGATACGAACGTAAAGGCTCAAATCGAATGAGATAAACGAGAACTACAGCAGAATTGGTCTTAGATGATATTGGCTCAGGAGTTACAGTAAGTGCACGCTCAATTGCAGTCACTGTCGTTAATGGACCAAAGTGTTTCGTGTCAATTTCCCACTCCACTGTAAAAGATTCATTTTCTAATTCCATGTCATCTGGAGCTGCCAAAAGTTCACACTCGACGCGTTTTTCGACACACTCACGAGCTGAACACGCGAGTATCGTTGCGATACGAGGATGAAGTGGAGCTTCTGCTATCCCACGTAAAGGATACCGCCATTCGAGTTCAGCAAATTCTTCTTTACCGTGAAATACTAATTGAGCTTGTTGTTCACTTACGTCTAAAGGTTGAAAAGAAATTGGTACTTGAATCACTTCAAATTCGTTCAATTCAAGATGTCGTTTTTTCAAAAGAAGTTCAAAGACCGAACTTTCATGCATTGATGAGTAATTTCGGTGTGTTGAAGTATCTTGTTTATCAATAACAAGCTCCACATTCACTTGAAGAAGTACTGCAAATGGATTTTTAAACATGAAAAGTGTCGAAACAATTTCATTCACTTGTGCTGTAATGACAAGTGGTTTCATCACACTTGGTGGTTGTCCACGACCTTGTACAATAAATTCCCAATCACTTACAACATCTTTTTCAAAAAATACAATACTTGTACTCTCAACATTTAATAAAGAAGATGGAGTATAATTGAGAGAGACATTTTCACGACCAAAAGGTGGTATAATCACACATTCATTTTGAATTGAAAAGTTTCTTGTGTTACTGATATGATATTGTAAATGTAATTCATGATTACTAGGATTCTCAAGTGATAATAATTGTGAACATGCTTCTCCAACTGCACAAACCATTTCATCAACTTGTTGTGCTTTTGCTTCATTTGCTACAAGATCTAAACGATACCAAAATTCTCCAACATTATCATTTGAAAACATTATTGCACCTTCTTCCATTGTAACTACTAAAGGTGAATACAATAATTCGTAGACTTTTGTTTCATGGGGTTCAAGAGTTAAAGTTGCAGATCCTATCAATCCATGACCTTGAAGTTTGACTTGAAAGATTGTGATAGTTTCTAAAGGATTAAAAATTTTAATTTCCACACCAATAGCTTCACGTACAATTGTGTGCATTTCTAACGTAGTTTCTGGTTCTGGAGGACTCACAGTAGCTTCAATTGTATACCAAAGATACTCTTTTGTAACCTCATGAATAAAAGTGATTGAACCAAAGTATAACCCACTAATTAATGGAGTAAAAGTTAGTGGGTACTTCACACTTTGATTAATACCAGGGGGTACTGTAATTGTTGATGGTCCAATAACATGGCACAAATCTGATTCGACTTGAAAGATTTGTGGAACATTTACTTCACCACCTGGTAAAGTAAAAACTTGAAATTCATGCACAATATTCGTCCTAGCTTGACAATTGAGAACTATATGATCTTGTGCTAATGGTTCTTCACCATGTCCAGAAAGTTGAAATTCGAATTGTTCCTGTGTTGTATTATTTACAAGTACAAATGTTCTTGTTTCGTGTTTAATCCATAATGGGGTAAAAGTTAAGGGGTACGTTGCTGAGCGTTTTGCGGGTACTATTAACGAAGCTGGACCTGAAAACATGGAACAACGTTCCAAATTTGAGGTACCAAATATAGCCTGTAGTAACCATGATGTTTCAGTAGGATTTGAGATTGGAATATCTTGGACGATACTTTGACGTGCTGGTGATACGAAATCTAATTGAGTTTGTACTTGACGCTCTTTAACTGTAGCCACAATATCATAAACACGAACATCGCTACTGCCACAAATTGTATTTTGTGACCGTAGTAATAGTTTACATCGATAACAACCGGCACCTTTGGGTTGAAAGTCAAGTAAGATACTATTTAAACCAGCAACAACCGAGCGTGGAGTACCCAATCGTGCTTGAGTCATGTTTACTCTTGAAGAATTGCGTTGAGAAGTTTCGGATCGTTCAGATCCTACTGGGATACTTTTACTGGTACAAGTTAAAGTCAATTCGGGTATATGAAGTGTAAAGTACGGTGAATTGAGAGTGACAGAAAACGTATGATGATGACTTTCTTCACACTGTTTTAGTCCATTTTGAAGATTAACACGTGATGGTCCATTTGTACGTTCAAGAATTGTTGATAAAGCACGATGAAGTAAAATATTAGAAATTGGAATAGTCAATTCACGAATAAAATGTAGTCGAGCAAGTTTCGAATCAGCATTTGATGTATCACATTGAAATTCTAACGTTTCTAAACTTGTTGGAAGAGTTGCAATTCCATGCACTTCGTATAGAAATTCTCCAATCTTTTCATCAATGAACAATAATTGACAACAATAATTGCCAGGATGAAAAGGTAAGAATTCGATTTTGAGTTTCGTCGATTCCTTTTGTTGAATACTCAAAACATTCGATTCAGAATCTTCGATTGCTAAGTTCAAATGCTTAACTTCTCCTTTTGTATCGGAATTGTTGTTTATTGTATTGAAATTGTTGAAATCTGGTAGATAAAATGCTGGTTGAGCATTTATACACCATTGAAAGTCTCCATTTTCACGATTATTCGAATTTTTTGGCTTCATTTCAAGTGTAGTAGCATCTGAATTTGAATTGTCATTTAAAGAATGTTTTCTACCACTTGCTTGAACAGAACGACGACGATTGACTCCTTGAGAAGAAGATAATTTCGTTTCATTTGTTCCAAAGGTTTCTGTCCCTAACGAAAGTATTTTTTGTGTCATTAAAACTTTATAACTTGCGTTACAAGGAAATTGATTTTCAATCACGAGCTCTTCGATACGTTTCTCGTATGTTTTGGTCTCAATTTGAAAAATCCGAACTGGTTTACGTGCTACAATGTTGGATTCTAACATGAAGACCATAGTGGCACCAGTACCTCCAAATGACAACGTATCATCTCTTACGGCTTGAAACACAAGACGCACTCGAAGTTGTCTTGAAAAACGTGGTTGGAAAGTTACTCGAAATGTACCCGTTTTGCCAGCTTCGAGCAGTAATTCGTTTGATTCAAGTGTAAACTCATTCATTGTTTTTTGAGAAGCTCCATTATGGTTTTGAAGTAGAAAAACATGATAACGTAATGGTCTTTGGCTTGGATTTTGAAGCTCAATGTTCTTTTCAATCTTTTGACCTAAAGTACCCTGAAAGTCAATCGTTGCCTTTGGAAGGAATTGTGGTAATGTTTGATATAAATGTAACAACAGAATGAACATTTCTCGACCTGTAAAATGTAAAAGAAATCGCTTGGGATTCATTCCAAAATCTAATCCAAACGTATTCAGAATCTGAAGTAAAACATCCGCTTTCTGCTGCAATTGATTTGTTGATCTACTCGTTTGTTGATGGGTTTTAAACGTCTCTAAATTCCATCGAAAACATTGATAAGGTGCTTGATCGGTTGATAACGTTGGAATGTATGCAGCCACAAGGTGAAATAGCCATTGTCCATCTTGTAAGTCTCGTCTCATATCCAACATTTGAGTCTCTAGTACTCCTTCTTTAAAAGAATTGAAAGCTGATGATTGGGAACATTGAGAGTGTGTACGGATACAATCACAAAGCCACTGAATCAGGACCATTTCAGCTTCACTATATACGTTGCTACCAAGACACATCCGTTTTAAAGAATTGTCGCTCTTACTTTTATCATCACATCCACTAGATTCACTTTTTGAATTATAATTTGGAAGCATCTGCAATTGATATCCTTTCGATGTAATTCGAGAAAATAAAAAACATTTCATCACTTGATAAATCACTTTCATCCACGCTGTTGTACTCACTGTTCGCCATTCATTGATCAATAATTGACGTCGCGCAATAGAAGTCAAGGATGTGAAATGTGGTATAGTGAAAAGTGCAGGATCAGCATGAGGATTCTCACATGCTTTTAAATAAAAGTCTTGACTTAATAAATATTCTGGATATACATCGTGTACCATGGCACCATATGAACGTAGAAAACGTAAAAGTTCAAGATATTGCGTTAAAAGCTGAGTTAACTCATTCTTTGACGATACAGTTGAACAATTTAACGAATTCTTTCGTTTTGTGCTTGATTCCGTGATATTACGACTAGGAATTGCTAATCCTTCTCCTTTTGTTTTACTACAAATGAGATCCAAGAATTCATATAAAGGTCGACCTCGAGTATTGGCAAAATCTTCTGGAAATTCATGAATTGGTGTTTGAAGAAACGTGGAATTAAGATATTGCATAAGAAATTCAATCTCATCTTTTGAAAATTGTGTTGAATCACTTGTATCTTCATGACTTATCATTGAATTCAAACTTATAAATCCATTTGAAAGAGATTTCGTCTTTTTTTCAATTTCTTCTTGAGCTTGTTGTTTCGAAAGAAGATAAATAGGAAATTGTCCAGATGTGTGTGTATAAAAACAAAATGAATCAGTTTTAGAAATTTCATCTTCTATTTCTTTTGGTGCCAGATTGTGTAATTGAAAAAATCTGTAGGTTGTCAGGAACGAATTTTCGGTACATCCTGCAATTGGTAAATGAAATGATGTGCCATTAGGATCCAAAAACTCAAGTCGAGTATTAAATGCAATACTTGAGGTACTTGTAAATTGTACTTCAACGGGTACACTTTCACAAACTCGACTCAGTCTTTTTCCTTGAGGAAATACGACAGTTAATGGAACTCGCGACGTATCTAACGCCACTCGGTATGTAAGTTCAAAAGATTCGTACCCAGTGGCAAAAACTTGAAATGTCATTTTCGTGGTAACCCCTAATGGTACAGTTGCAAGAATAACCTTATTTGTTGAAAAAGATAAATGTGGGGTTACTCCTTCTCCTCGTAAAGTAAAATTCGCATAACTTTCGTCATTTATCAAAAGTGGTAAATTTTCTTCCGCATATTCAACAGCATCAAGAGGTATAAAGTTTACATAAAGGGTTACAGCTTCTCCTGGTGCTAATTCCCCTTGATTTGGAGCAATATGAAAGATAGTAGACGTTGCACTATGTGTTGGATTAGCAGCTCCACATTCTTTAACTCCTAAACTTTCAGCAGCACCAGTAGCAAAAGTAATGAGATTTCCACGTCGTAAACAAGTTGTATCAAGTCGCCATTCTATACTTTCATCAACATCATTTGTTAGAACAATAGTTTTAGTATATCGTACATTTCGATTATTATCTCGAATAACAATACAGCGAGAAAAGTTGATACTTGATGTTGAAAAACGAAGACGAGGAGAAATTCCAGTAGCTTGAAGTCGTCGTTTTAATATTGTAAATCCATTTAAAGTCATCGAGGTATTTGCGATTTCAAGTGGTAAGATGAGATCATATTGATGCACTTTTAACGGTGTATAGATAAGATTTAAGTCGAGAGATGTGTGAGGTAATAAATGAAGTTTCCACTTTGTACATTGACCATTGACCATCTTATCATCAAAAAGTGGTTCAATACTATTGCTTGTATCTTCATAATATCGACGTGGTTTAATGACATCAAATTCTTGTAAAGCACTAAGATCAAGTTGTAATGAAGCAGATATTGAACTTTGATTTGTAAAGGAAAGTATACGTGAGACTGATACACCAAGCACAACTTGTCCAAAGTCAATAATATCGGAAGGAACAAGTAAAATATCAGGAATAACAACAGATACAAAGATTGGAAGACGATAAACAATACCACCACGTATTGTTACAATTACTGTCGCACTTTGTGTTTTTGTATTCATATCAAGTGTAATAGCTCGATATGGTACAAGTTTTACAAGAATTTCAAGCGATTCTTGAGGAGCAATGAAACTTTGACTTGGAACGACTTGTAATCCTATTGAAGGATTTGTTGAAAGAAGCTCAAAACTTGTACTTACAACTGCACGATTGTGAATGTCGTTGTTATGCAGTACAAATGTTTTTGTTCGCTCAAGACCAACGGAGATTGTTCCAAAGTCAATTGTTTTATCACGAATTCCAACTTTGATCTCAGGTACTAAAGCTCGACAGTTTAAAAGACATTTCTTACCTCCTGTCACATCTAATTGTAACGATTGAGTTAACCAGAAACTTCCACTTTTCTGTGTGATTCCTAAAGCGGTTCTTGTAGCTTTTGTCATAGATGGAGGAGTGTAAATCACTTTACAGACAAGTGAAGCTAATGGTTTAAGCACACCACTTGCTGGATTGATGTCATATACGGACAGTTTTATTGCTGTATTGTTACCATAACTTCTATCAGTCATTGCCATTGTTGTCGCATTACTTTTTGAAGATTCAGGTCGATTTAAACCATCAAATGTAGTAACCAAAGGCAAACGAGTCCAATTAAATAAAGCATCACAGTCACTAGTATTACTTATCACAACATCACGAGAAATACTTGAATTCAGATCGAGATCATCAAATTGAAAAAGCAAATCAAAAGGTGTAACTTCTACGACAATCGGTGCAACTTCAGCCATAAGTGTCACTTGACGAAAGTGAATACGATTTAATGAATACGTCAGAACTTGCTGGTAACTTTGTTCTTTTAATGAACAAAACACGATATCAAATCCTGCTTTCGAATGAGGTGGTATAACTTGAGATGTTAGAAGTGTCTTGCGTGCTACTTCTTCGAAAGAATCTCCAATTTGTTGACTTTCCAAGTGTAAATTGACTAGAACATTACGCGAGAGATCGTTTTGCACTGTAAGTCCACGTGTGGTACTTACATTAATGCACACTCTTCCAAAATTTAGAGTTTTTGGACCTGAGAGTACACGATTAAGTTCAGACGTCTCTAAACTTTGAGCACAATCCGCTAATTCCGCAGGAGTAGCAGGCAAAGTTTTATATTTTCTCGGTATTAGTTTCAATGCGTCAAAAAAGAGATTCACGTTTCCATCTGTCGGATGTTGACAAAGCCAAAGTGGTTCGTTTGCATCAACAATCGATTGTGGAAGTTTTAGTGTCGGTGGTGTAAGTTTCTCCATCCCAAGATTAACATCGTTTTCCTGATTTGAACCGCGAGACTGAGCGATATGCTTTTTTAAGCCATAAGCTTTTCCTTTGTTTTTGCTTTTAGCTTCGCGCTGAACACGACATTGAGTCAGATACTCATGATACGCTGCACGATGATCAGCACGACGTGCAAGTTCCTTCACACAATACGTTAAATGTGTGTTATTTGTGCCTTGAAGCTCAAATTCATCCACTGCTGCAGTTCCATTTAATGCTGCACGTTCATACGGAGGTTGACGCTGAAAACGACGCGATAACTTCCCTTTTGTTTGTTTTGCTTGTTCAGGTAAGAGAAAGTGATACTTTGGAGCAAAATCAGCCGGTAAAGCATAGGGACCACCAACAAATCGTTCGCTTGATGGTGGAACAGATCCTACTACAGCGGCTCGTCCATGAACTTTGATAGGAATCTCAACTATCCCATCATTTACTTGTAAGATTAACGAATTGTCGAATGTCCCCAATTGTGTTGGTGTAAAACTCACAACGAGATTTTGAGATTGCAACACATCCAAGCGACCAACACGTGGACAAATCGAGTAATGCGCTATGTTGTTCTTAGACTTAAATTGTATTGGTAAACCAGATAAATTCTTGATAGACAACAACATGTCAACTCGATCATGTGATCGAACATCACCAAAGTCTAAAGGTGGCGATGGGGAGAGAAATAGTTGAGGATTAAACGTTTTTGCAGTGATTTGAAACGTCAAATCATGAGCTTGTAAAGTCTCGCAAGAGATGGAGGCAAAAGCATTAAGAGATTGTGCTGGTCCTGATAAAAGAGTAAAGGGAGAAGTCGAATCCGAAGACGATTCTTCAAAATTTTCATTCTGATGACGACTAAGATATTGCAATTCTTCCAAAGTCTTTGCTCTTGGATGGTATATAAATTGTAGTAAAGTCTCACTGAATGGATCAATGCAACCATGTTCAGGTGTAATTTCAAGCTCCTTATGTACTTCATGATCTTTTTGATCCTCTTCTATCATAAAATTGATGGAAGTCTTGAATTTTAATGGTAAAGGACCATTATTTCTCAATAGCGTTTCAATCGTACGTCTCTCACCAGCGAATAGCGATCCAAAGAATAAAGACTTAACAGGTTCATGTCCTTGACGTAATACCAACTCAGCTGTGTGTTCAACCACATTACCCGAGACGTCCACAATTTTCTCTGCGGAAGGTAAAGCATCTGTTCTCGTGTCGTCTTCCTCTACAATTTCCCATATTCGAACTCGAACGATTCCTCGAAATACACCAATTCCAAGTCCTTGTGCTTCCACTTTCACATGTACCTTTTCATGAATTTCAAGTTTTCCTTGTTCTGGAAATACTTTAATTGTTGCTTTCGAGCTAAAGTCGCTCGGTTCTAATACTTCTACCTCATATCTTCCTGGTCGTGTCCCATTGTTCAGCACTTCGACACATTGAGCTGAACGTTGCATCAAAACAACAAGACCAAGTTTACACTGCAACGGCGTCACTTCTAATGACGGACATGCTCTTCTAGCCATCAATGGAATTTCCAAAATTGATCCATCATCTCCTTTTATTTGCAACCCATCGTGAATCATTGCAGGAATAGAATCTCCTTCTGGAACATGAAACATAATGTCATACTTGATTTGAAGACCTGTTGATAATGATACAGTAGCATTTTCAGTCTTTGCAAGGTCTTGACCTCGCAGCAAAACTTGGAATGACGACGCATGTGATGGTGGCGTCAATCGATAACGCAAGACGCGATGACTGGTATTTTGAACGTTTAAAGTCGCAACGTAACAATTGCCACGTTCGAAAGATGGAAATTCGACGACAGAAGGTGCAACATGCAATGCTGAAGCTGATTGTTTTCCATGAAGACCGTCAAGAGTTGAAGGTTGTCCTACAATTCCAGAAGTTGGCATCAATCTAAGTGATATCAAGATTTCAATGCTGAAACGTGTCGGTTCAAACGTAGAGTCTGCGTCGGTTCAAGATTCAAAAACTTTATTGTTGGAAGGATATCAAAAAGTTAGTTTTGTAAGACATATCCATCTGCTTGTCTTCTCAAACTAAGTACAATTCCAATATTCTAAACTTCAGTCATGTTATCTAGCTATCACAATATTTTGACATTCAATCACTGCAATATACAAGTTCGAGACTTTTTTGCCTCGACTTCATCTGTTGCTGCACCAACTTCGGTACGTAAACGCTCCTGAATTGAAATTCGACGTCGATTTTCTTCTTGTGAATCCTGCGCAACCAATTTACTGTTCTTCTGTCTATCATTCTTCTCATCTGCATGAAAAGATGCAACTCGAGTCATTTCACTCACATGTCGAGGTGAGCGAATGGTGTCCATGTCATCTGTCCATCCTGTTCGAAGTTCTTATCGATCAAGCATTAGATTACATAGTTGAGAAAGCAATTAACAGTATGAAAGACATACTTAATCCTGACATTTTGCTCACAACATCCTCTGAACTTTGTGTCGTCGACATGACACAATCTCTGACATGAAAAAACAATATAACTCTAAACAGAATTAGAATGAGCCTTTTCGTCTTGTAATTTTCAGTAACCCCCGACTACTCGCATAGCTCAAGCCAAGCCATTGTTTCAACGTGAGGAGTATGTGGTAGCATGTCCACTGGTTGCAAACGTCGCACTTTATAATAACCAATTTGACCACTCTCCAATTTTACCTTGGCACATAAAACTTCAAGATCGACTACTTGAGAGTGAGGATTGCATGATACGTAACAAATGTAACGTGGTGTCATACGGCGAAGCATTTCAATGAGCTTCCGATGCAGTCCAGCTCTTGGGGGATCCACAATGATCAAGTCTGGAAGGTCATAATCAATTGAATGTGATGCAAGGAGTTCAAAAAAGTCTTTTTCGTGCCAGCTTTTAGCTAAATCAACGCGAAAGAATCGCATGTGATCAGATGTGTAACCATTTAGACGAGCATTGACTTTAGCACGTTCCACAGCTTCATCGTTAAGCTCAAATCCCATAACTTGCTTAACATAAGCACCCATACAGATTCCGATACTACCTACTCCACAAAAGAGATCCCACACAATAGGTTTTTCTGGCAACGTGACGATCATACGTTGAATTTCATAGTAAAGAAGACTTGCTTGGACTGAATTTGGTTGAAAGAATGAATTGAAAGGTATTTCGAATTTGTGGTCGAGAATTGTGTCTTCAAGATGCGCTTTGCCGTAAAGAACACGTTCAAGTGTATGATTTTCAATTAATTGAGACGCTACATCATCTTCTCGTCGTCGATGTCGTTCTGCTTCCTGATCCAAGCTTTCTATAATTGATACAAGACGTGGAGAATTTTCGTCTGAAACCAACGACGTTTTTTCAACTTCGCTTGCAAGGTCTTGTACAATACGATGAAGTAGATCGCTCTCTTCACCATACCACTCGGTAGTTTTCAAGCCCAGCATGATTTCTATTTGTCCTCGACTATTTACACCTCGACGCAACACAATTTGTTTCAGAAATCCTTTATGAGTGATGAAATTGTATGCGCTTAATCCATTTATTTCACATTTCTGCACAAATCGTTGTAACAACTCATTGCACGCTAAATCCTGCAATTGACACTCCTTGATTGATAATATACGAGGACTCCACAAAGCTACTCGACGACGACGTGCTTTATTTTTGCCATATCTTTGCTTTAATCGACGAGAATGGACCGAGGAAACAGGAAACATCCCAACTGTAAATGAATTGCTTGAAGCAATCGTCTCTTGACTTGATCTATCACTTGAATTTTTATCTTCATCTAGTAACCAACGTCCTGTACTACAAGTAAATTCCATTTTATTACGATAATGATAAATTCCATCTTGAATTTTCACACCCAAAATGTTACAAATCTCCATATCTAGTGAATGATGACGTTGTGAAAATAAATTTATAATCCATTGCTGCTTTTCTCGAAGTTGTTGTTCATAACGAACATGCTGTAAATTACATCCACCACAGTCTCCAAAATATTTCGTACATAATGGATTAACACGATAATTACTTGATTCAAGCAATTTTACTTGCTGTCCGAAAATTGATCGAATGTCTTGGGTATTACTATCCACTGGTTTTTTTCGAGAAGTTGAGTGCATGTCTTGCTCCCAAATTTCAGCTATAAGTTTATCTCCTGGAGCTGTAAATGGTACAATTACTTGCAGTTCCGTATCATCTTCGGAGATAAACGTCCCGACGCCATCGCCATGAGAATTCAATTTAGTTATCGACTGAAAAGTTAACATGAGCGTAAAATAAAAAACATTATATGACATTTAAGATATAAATACCAAAGAAACACGTCGCTTGGCATTTGGCGCTGGTCTTATTGAGGTCGAGAGGAGACGATTTGTGAAACTTGAATATTGCTGAAGACAATTGCGAAGAAGAGTCCAGCGGCGCGAGCCAATCGCTAACCTAGTCATTGGGCACAGATGAGAGTATGAATTTAGCCAATTGCTTTTTAAGGAGAGATAATAGATAAATGTGTAAGTGAAATACATAAGTATCTGTAAATGTCGCTCCTGTAAGTACGGGCAAAAAGCTATGAGTTCATTAAGAAATTCGTGCGTCACTGTGTGCAAATCCAAACTCTGTGCGCTGTGTATGGAGAATTTTTGGTCAAAGTTTTCTCAGTGCAAGGGAGAATGGCAAAACGAGCTTCGAGTTCGTCAAGAATGCGCAGCGCTTGTGACCTTCTATATAAACTGTCTTGATTTAGGTGTGCCTCGCACCAAAACCTTACGCATCTACACTACCTTATGCGAGGAGGAAGTGGACGTTGCATTAACCGCAGAGTACATTTTACGTGTCGCGAGAGCTGGTTGGAGCACGAGACGTAGATGCTCGAGTCGATTGATCAAAGCCATATATGATCTAGAGACTTCTAGAATATAGAGCCAAAACAGCGACTGGGTTTCGCGGTCATCTGCATATAAGGGCCTTTACAAGCTGCAAGTAGAAGGGGCAAATCCATCGATGACTCGTTTCTATCTTGATGCAGCAGTACTGCGGAATACTACGATTTACACGTCCACCGCATGGGGCTACAATACTCTACAAATTTTAACGATATTGTTCACTCTCATTAATGGTGTGATCAGTTGAAAGTTGCTATGTATTATCTTATTTCGCGGCTATACCTACTCGACCCTGACTACAATATCACATTGATTCAATCCACTATGGTATTTTCCTTGATTTTTTTGCTTAAAGTTTCGTTTACGAGTCGCCAACTCGAGTGACCAATATAGGACATAGGACAGAATGTTTAAGCCTTCTTTCATTACCTCTAAAAGATGCTCTCATCAAGGAAGTACCCCAATGAATGTCTGCAAGAAGCTTCAAGACAACGTTTATATCGAAATGGAAGCTGGCGGTAGATGTAACGGGGTCACATGAGAGTGACCCGTCACTCTCCCAAGGGAGCTGTGGTGT